TTTGCCGGAGGCGGAATTGCCCCGCCTTTGCCGGTCCGGGCTAAGCAATCTGCTCGGGTTTGCTCTCGGGAGCTTTTGTTCCCCGCAAGCTTTCCCTACGGCTTTGGAGGAGGAGAGTGAAAATGGTGGCCTCCCAATCTCCGACCGGAGGAGCCGAGAACTTGGGGCCCCGCTCCTCAGTGCGCCCCCAGAGAAAAGCAGTCAGTCACTCCCGTCTTCCCGGTCTCCGGCCGCACTCCGTGCTCACCCGGCCTGTGACCATTTCTGTCTCTGGCACCCGACTCGGTGTGGAGTCTCCAAACCCAGCAGATCCCTGCGGTGCGCTCCCACGCCGCTCCTCCCGGGGGAGGAAGGGGAGTCTCCCCGGATCTGCTGCTCATTGGGTCCCTGCTGGAGGAGCAGTGGCCTGACTGGGCCTCGGATCACAGTTTATGGCAACCCCGAGCTGAGAGCCCGCGCCTCGGCTCCGTCTCTGCAGCCGGCTTCCCTGCTCCGATACCTGGGGAGCTCTGCTGCACTCAGGCACCCCCGGTCTTTCTGTGACCCTGAAGGTCCTGAGACCACACTGTCCCGTGAGGGTTCCACCCCCCCTTAGCCACTGGAGCGACGTCCCTCAGCGGAGCCGACTTCTAAAAGTTCCGATTTTGTGCTCCGCGGCTCTAACACTTGCCAGAAGCAGCCGACGGAGGCCCCTCCCCCGCCGTCTATCCTCCCGAATATCGCCTCGGATTCACTTCTCCGCATGTCCTACCTTCCAGTAAGTGGTCGCTTTTCTGTTCAGAGAGTTGTTGCTATTCTTCTCTTCGATCTCCTGTTTCGTAGGTGTTCAGAATGGTTTGATCCCTATCCAGCTGAATTCCTGAGACCAGACGAAATCCAGGTCTCCTACTCCTCCGCCATCTTCCTCCGCCCCCACAATTCAATTCACTTCTGATGCTAACCACCTGGAGTCTGTGTTTGATTCTCCGGGTTTAAAGGCTCAGTCACACAAGACTGTCCCCACTTCAGTTGCAGTTCTCCACCTGGACTGGCCACCTGTGCAGGCCACCTGATCAACTGTCTATAAATAGGGGGTTCCCATGACTCTTTCCTAAGGTTTGCTAGTTTGCTAGAATGGCTCAAAGAGCTCAGGAGGAAACTTCGCTTCTGTTTACCAGTTGATTATAAAGGCCACAAAGCAGGAGCAGTCCAGTGTAAGAGAGTCTAGGGCAAGGTCTTGGCAGGGGTGGGGGGGCGGTGCAGTCATCATTCGTGCCTTCTCTGGGCGACTCACCCTCTCAGCACCTCATTGTGTTCACCAGCCTGGAAGCTTTTAGAACCCTGTCTTTTAGGGGTTTTTATGGAGGTTCCTTTATGTTAGCATGATTGATTAAATCAGTGCTTATTAGGGTTTCAACTCCATCTCCTGCTTCTCTTTCCCTCCCTACCTGGAGTTTGGAGGGGAGGACTGAAAGTTTCAGCCTTCTAATTGCATGACTGGTTTCTCTGGCAACTAGCTCCCATCCTAAAGCAGTCTATAGGTCTAGAGGCCCACCAAGAGTCGTCATTAACATAAACTCAGGTATGGTGTAAGGGGGCTTATTATGAATAACAAAAAATACTCCTCTCACTCCTGTCATTCAGGAAATTGCAAGGATCTTAGGAGCTCTGTGCCAGGAACCTGGACAGAGACCAAACATATTCTTTATTATATTATAATATCACACTCCTCTGTGTCTTTTTAGTTTGACCTGTCTGTTAAGTTTGAATTTAACATCTATTTAAGAGGCATTCCCCAGAATATAATCTTACCATTCATTGCTCTATTTTTAGTATTCTTTCTATTATGTGATATCAAATATACTCACTATGTTTGTCATGTTGTACCAAGTATAGCATTACACTTTTTTTTCCTTTAACAATTTATAAAAAAAGCCTTCAATTTGCTTATTCTCTCTAGAGCTCCCTAGGAACTTTTTGCCTTAACTTTACAGTCCTTCTGCTTACTGGCATTATCCTTGATCCATCTGAAGAAAGGCAGTGCTTATAACAATTTCATGTCCACTGGTAGCTTCTATAGCCATACAATTTCAGACGTACATTTTTTTGTTCATTCACATAGAGTTTTTATTTACCTTACCCATTAATCATGCATTTTCTGTCTAACTCAGTCATTTAGTTGACTCTCCATTCTTGTTTCTTCCACTTTGACACATGTCCATCCCAGAGCACAGTCGTTCTCTGGCCACATGGTCTCAACTAACTCCTGACTTTCACTGAGTACTCACTTCTTCCCCTACTCTCCTGTCCTCTCTTATTCCCTGTTGTAGTCAGTATTCAGGCTAAATGAATAGACTTACAGTAGACCATTGTAGGGGCTCATGGTAGGTTACTGGTTGACTGTTTACTGGATTCTGTAAGGCTTCAACCAGAGAGTAATTTATGAGGGTGTCCTGAAAGTGATGCAGGGACCAGAGGTGGTCCTTCAGGTAGCCTATGGAGACGTGCTAAAGTGTTGAGCCCAGGTGTTGTCTTCAGGGGTAGTAAACCCACGATAAGTGAAAATGTACACGGTCTGTAAGTTAACTTACTAATCCAACAGAAGCAAACCTCTGAATACTGTCACCCCCAAAAGTTCTCTTGTGACTGCGGTTAATCACCATTCCTACTCCTACACAAGGCAACTACATATCTGCCATTTGACTATACTTTTGTCTTTTCTAGAAATTATGTACAAACGGAATTATTATATATAGTCTTTAATGTCTTGCTTTGTTTCCTTGGCGTATTATTAAGGTTCATCCACGTTCCATGTATTAGTAGTTCATTACTTTTTGTTGGTGAATAGTATTCAGTTTTGTGGATGTACATTTTGTTGATCCACTCATCAGTTGATGTACATTAGGTTTGTTTGAATAATGCTGCGGTGACCATTCACATACAAGTCTTTGTGCAGGCATGTTGTCCTGTCTTTGGTACATAGCTAATAGTGGAATTGCTGGATTGTGTGGTGAGTGAATGTTTAACTTTTAAAGAAACTGCCAGCTTATTTTCCAAAGAGGCTTATACTATTTTTGCATTCCACTAGCAACGTAGAGGAGTCTAGATTCTTCACATCCTTGCCAAGGCTTAATATTGTCAGTTTGTGTGTGTGTGTGTGTTTAATTTTAGCCATTCTAGTGGGTGTGTAATAGTATCTCATTGTGGTTTTAATGAGCAATTTCCTAATGACTAATGACATTGAGCTTTTTTCACATGCTAATTTGTCATCTGTATCTTCTTTGGTGAAGAATCTGTTCAAAACATTCTATTTTTAATGGGTAGTGTGTCTTGTTTTTGAGTTTTAAGAGGTCTTTATAGATTTTGGTACACATCTTTTTTCAGTAATAAGGTATGATTTATGAATGAATATTTTCTCACAACCCATGGCTTACTTTTTTTTCTTAGTAGTTTCTTTTAAAGTATTTAATCTTTAAGAAATCCAATTTATCATTTTTTTTTCCTTTTTGGATCACACATTTGGTGTCATATTTAAGAAATCTTTACCTAACCCAGAGTCACAGTTCTTTTCTTCTAGATTTTTATCACTTTGGCTGTTATGTTTAAATCTGTAATCTATTTCGACTTAATTTTTGTGAATGGTGTGAGGTAAACAAAACCAGCTGTTCTACCACCATTTTTTTCTCCTTGAATTTCTGTGACTCTTCTTTTGAAACTCAGTTTACCATAAATCCTTGAGTTTATTTCTGTACTTCTTATTCTATTCCATTGGTCTGTATTGTCTGTCCTTCAAATGCCACACTGTCTTGATTACTGTAGTGCCTACTATGGTAAATTTCAAAATCATGTAGGGTAAATCTTTCAACTTAGATTTTCTTTTTCAAAGTTAAACAACTTTGGCTACACTCAGGGCCCTTTCATGTTCATGTAAATTTTAGAATCAGCTTGTCGGTTTCTCAAACAAACCCCAAAACGCCCTGTTTTGATAGGGATTGGGTTGAATCTCGCTCAGTTAAGGTAGACTTGCCACCTTAATATTAAGTATTCCAATCCATGAACATGGCATATCTCTCCACTTATTTGGGTCCTAATTTTTCTTTTAACAATGTTTTGTAATTTCAGAATTTGGGTTTCTGCTTCTTTAGTTAAATTTATTCCCAAGAATTTTATTCTTTTGGATGCTCTTAATGGGATTGTTTTCTCAATTTTGTTTTTGGATTGCTTGTTGATAATATATGGAAATATAGTTGTTTTTTTAATATTGATTTTGTATCTTGCCTCCTTGGTAAAATTCATTTACTAGTTCTGGTAGTTCATTTTGCAGAGTCTTAAGATTTTTTAAATACAAGATCATGTTGTCTGTGTATAAAGATAACAGCTGCTATCTCTGCTCAAATTTTCTATTTTTAATTTTATTTTTTAGTCTGATTGCCTGTGTCTGTCTAGATTTATGTGTCAGACAATGATATTCGCACGGGTTGTGCTCAAACCTTAAGTTTGTAAGGCTTCCCTGATCTCTGTGTGACGTGAGAGTGCCTTCAGAGTTGCCGCCGGTTCTCAAGTCTTCTCGGCTGTTCCTTTTCACTGGGCTTTCTTGCTGCCCTCTTCCCCTGCCCGCTTTCCTTCTTTGCATGTGTGCAGTTCCCTGGTCAGCCGGCGGTGTGCAGAGAGTTTGTATGAGCCCTTGTTCCCGGGATCTTCCTGGTAAATTCCTGACCATTATATTGCTTGCCCTCCCTGGGGCTACAGCATCAGGCTAACAGGCTGTGGGTTTTCCTCATTTGTTCACTTTTGAGTTTGCCACTTTTAGCTGGCAAAACCCTAGCTTTTCATCATTGCCCCCTCTCTCTGGCCCACAGTCTCCAGTTCCAAATTGAGTCCATATCTTTTGGCTACAAGCAGCAAATCTGCTAGTTTTGCTCTCAGCACCATGCTGGTAAAACTCTGGTTCTCTCCATTTGATTGTGGGGAGGGGAGCCATGGGGGCTTAGGACCATTCCCGGGCAGGAGAGACAAAGTCCCCTTACCGCTGCTCTTACCTGAAGCTCTGGCTGGTGTTTCATTATTTCTCTTGTTATTAAAAGAATAATTGTCTGCTTCTGGCCAGTATCCAGTCCCTTTATATGTTTGGTTTTGTCCAGTTTAATATGTGGTTTTTTGGGGGGAGGATTCATTACCTTCACACCACCATTAGCAGGAAGTTCCTTCTTGCCATTTTTGATATAATTTTTTTTTTTTAAGCTAAAGAGAATCTGCTTTTTACCAGGCCGAGGAATATATATTCTTCTTAGTCCACTTACTTTACCAATATGGGCTTTAAAGAGACTTTGTTATGGAAATAATTCTTTATTACTGCTGGCTGGGCCTGTCTAATCTAGTCTCCTATTTAACAAATGAAACAACTAATCCCTGGGGAGGTTGTGTGACCAAAAGTTAGTGGCAAAACTGAAGTTATTAGAAACTGTTAGAGCCTGGGTCTCTTGGATTAGAGCATCTTTTCTGTTCTACCAGTGACTATTTTAACTTTTATTTTACTTTATTTTTTAAGTAGTTGCACTATCCTTATCCTCTCTTTTTCTCAAACCAGGTCTTGTATGGAAACCAGTAATGAGACCAAATGGCCATGCCTTTATTGAGGCAGGTGTATGGTGTTTTCCCTCCCTAGGTAGGGGCTCTGGAGAAAACTTTTGTACTGGATAGCTAGGAGTTGATCTTTCTGGGTCCTTAGCTATAAAATTAGGGGTATTGGGGAAGGGGAGGATAGTAGTTACTTTTATAGTTCCTTTTCATCTCTGAAGTTAATGATTCTATGAACTTACATGATTTTATAAGCATTTGTGCCCCCAAAGCAGTGGTTCCCAGAATGCCAGGAGAACTCCTATGTTGAAAGGTGGTTGGGATTTGGGGACTACCTGTAGGGTTTAGAATGGGAGTAGGGTTACCCCTTCTTATCAAGTAATCACTTCAGTTAAATGGTCTTTAGACAAAACTCTGACATATGGAAATAACATAGGTATTAAAGTATATGTTAGGCAGTGGGGTGGGGGTTGGAAACCTTCTGAAGGAAACATACTCAGAGCATAAAAAGCCAATTTGATTAACAGATTTTGCCCTTAGTCATTTTATTTGTAAGCAATGTATGTTAAATTCCTGTGTATTTCTTTTTAAGGGTCAACTGGTTTTCCTGATCCTGATTTAGTATTGAAGTTTGGTCCTGTGGACAGCACATTAGGCTTTCTTCCCTGGCACATCAGATTGACTGAGATTATGTAAGTAATGAAAGTGTCCTGATTTTGGTTCAGTTCAGCAAGTGTTTCTCAAGCCCAGCACTATAGTAGGTATGGTGAGAATTCCCAAAGACTTAGAGTACTTGTCCTCTCCCTCAGGTACTTGACAGTATCAATGGTAAGATAAAGACATATGTAAATGACTCAGACACAAGAGAGTGTGGTTGTGCAAGTATTTGGTATTGATACAGATTGTCATAGGAGACCAGGAGTGAGAGATACCTCTGTGGGCCAGAGTTGTTGGTTTTACAAAAAAGATATGACTTGCTCCGGGGCATGTAAGATGGATAGAATTTTTATAATTAGAGAAAAAGGTGAGAAGTGTAGGGAATGATAGACAGGGAAAGAAAGAAAAGCTGGGAGATGAGGAATGAACATCTCGTTTTCAAGAAATAGTGAGGGAACTTGGCCATACCAGAGCGGAGACTTAGCATTATAGCATTAGATGGTAGAATAATTGGCCCTTGAACAATGTGGGTGTTATGGGGGGACCCCCGTGTGCAGTCAAAAATCTGCATATAACTTGACTCCCCAAAAACATAACTACTAATAGCCTACTTTTGATTGGAAGCCTGACTGAATAACAGTCAATTAATACAACTTTGTGTGTTGTATGTATTGTATACTGTATTCTTACAATAAAGTTAGCTAGAGAAAAAATGTTATTAAGAAAATTATAAGGAAGGGGCACCTGGGTGGCTCAGTCATTAAGCTTCTGCCTTCGGCTCAGGTCATGATCCTGGGGTCCTGGGATCGAGCCCCACATCGGGCTCCCTGCTCGGCGGGAAGCCTGCTTCTCCTTCTCCCACTCCCCCTGCTTGTGTTCCCTCTCTCGCTGTGTCTCTCTCTGTCAAATAAATAAATAAAATCTTTAAAAAAAGGAAAAAAATACAGGAAAGAGAAAATACATTTGTAGTACTATGCTGCATTTATCAGAAAATATCTGTGTGTAAGTGGACCCATACAGTTCAAACCTATGTTGGTCAAGGGTCACCTCTGTAAGGTGAAAACAGATAATTTGGGTGTATCGATGCTGGGAAGGCTTTAAATACCAGCACAAAGAATATGTATAACAGTTTCAACAGGAAGTAGGCAACCACTAGCCTTTGGATAGCGTGGAAGTGGTGATTGGAGAAGATTTGTTTGGCACCTGTGTACTAGACTAGATTGGATTTGGGAAAGGATTAGGTAGAGAGACAAGTGAAGAGGCCATAGCTATGATTTAGGGGATCATACAGTGATGAGAATGAAATTGCTTATTTAGAACAGAGTTGGCCAAACTTTTTGTATAAAGGACTAGGTGGTAAATATTTCAGGTAAATATGTGGGCCATACAGTCTCACAGCTCCTCACTGTTGCAGCTACTCAACATTGGTGGTGTAGCCAAGTGGCCACAGACAGCACATAAACAAACGTGTCTGACCGTTGCAGTAAAACGGTATTCACAGAGACAGGTGGCAGGCTTGTGGGCTGTATTTGGTGACCCCGATTTGATTTGATTTAAAGATTTTATTTATTTGAGAGAGAGAGAGCATGAGTGCGCAAGCGGGGGGAGCGGCAGAGAGAAGCAGGCTCCCCGCTGAGCAGACTAGAAAGTCAAGGGAACATTGATTTTTGAAGAGAAAATGTTGAATTCAAAGATAAGATGATTTTGAGGCCATAGTCTTATTTAGTGGAAACACTTAGGGGAGCAGATGAAGATGTAGAATTGGTCCATGGATGTGAAGTCAAGGCAAAAAAATGGGTATTTGGAGATTGACAGTACCTAAGAAGTAATAGTAGTTGAACTTGTGAGAATAGGGGAACTTTCTCAAGTGTATATAGAAGAGCACAGTACCAAGGGACCTTTGGTATTTATTTATGTATGTACGTATGTATGTATGTTATGTTATGTTATGTCATGTCATGTCACCATACAGTACATCATTAGTTTTTGATGTAGTGCTCCATGATTCATTGTTTGCGTACAACACCCAGTGCTCCATGCAATATGTGCCCTCTTTAATACCCATCACCTGGCTAACCATCCCCCCCATTCCCCTCCCCTCTGAAACTTTCAGTTTGTTTCCCAGAGTCCGTAGTCTCCCATGGTCTTTTAAGAAGTGCTTCAAGTTCAGGGGCAGGACAGGGAAAAGGTTTGTCAAATCAAAAGGCAGAAAAGAACACATAGCTTGGCAGAGTCAGAAAGAGCTGTAGATCATATGGTCCCACCTCCTTATTTTATAGACGAGGAGAAGGGGGAAAAGACATTGCTCTTCCTATTGCTTGTAATAAAGTGGAATCCACATCTCCAGACTTTGGGTTTCCTTATCTTGGGTGTGTGTTTCTCTTGTTTCTTTCTCTCCAGGGGTTTTCTGAGTTTGATTTTAGGTGCCTTTCGGGTTGGGCTCCAAGAAAGGTAGCAGTGATCTCTTGTGAGGTCGAGCGTGGTTTGGAGGGAAGCGTGTGTTGTAGAACAGCTGGATCTCCATTTGAGTCTTGGCTATGCAGTTCAGTAAGGTGACTTTGGATAGTTATTTAAGCTTCTCTGTATTTGTAAAATGGGTATTTTAATAAGAAGTTGAGGATTTAATCCTGATAACCGACATCAGATACCTAACACGTAACAAACTTTCCCGTGGCTCTTTGTACGTCTGTCTGTCCTAGCCCTGTCACATTGTATTGAGGTCTGCTCTCTGTTTCTCGGCCGCCCACCAGACTGGAAGCACTGTGATGTCTTAATCATAAGAGCAGAAAGAGAAGGGCAAGACCACTTTGGAGGCACTGAGGGGTCGTGGCGCTAAGAGCTTCTTGAGGAAAGATAGGAGATGAAGCCGTTGATAAAGAGGGTAAAATGAGAAAGACTTAGGAAGGTGGGTTGTTTGCAGAGGACATCTGAAGCAAGCTTCAGCAAAAAGAGGGTCATTAACTTTGTTCTTTGAGGATACCTCGTGAGCTTATCACTGCAGTAGAAGGAATAAGATAAAAGATTGAGGGCAGAGATTATTAAGAGATAAGGAAATGGGAGGGAAAGGAGACTTCTTTCAGAATTTTGGCAGTGAAAGGAAGGGAAAAGATTATAAGTCCGTTGTATTTCAGTGAAGCTAGGGAGGGGAAAAGGAAGGATAAAGAAGGCATAGCTCTGAGCACCACAGGGTCAGGCCAGGAGGTCATCCCCGGTAGGCTTGCTCAGTCTTTTTTCTTTTGTGGTGCACGTGACTGGAACTCAGAACGTGGCTTGTACGCTCACCAGGTGTTTGGCTCTGGTACAGTTTGGAATTTCCAAAGCCTCACAATAAAGCTCTGTAAGTTAGAGAATTGTTTATGTTAATTATTGAAAATTATATTAAGGATTTCAAATACTTAAAGGGGAACCCTCTGGCTGTACATTCATCTGCCTTTACAGAGTTTGTCTTCACATCACACTGTAACTGCCTCTTTGAGCAATTAGAAATGGTAGAGATAAATATTCATTTATTGGTTGCTCACCACATTGGCTTTAGCATACAGTCATAGACGGATGCTGTGCTGTTCTGTGAGTGTTAAGCCTGGCTTTCATAAACCGTTCAAGTAGTACTGGCTTTACTGTGACAGAAAGGAGTTTTTTTGTTGTTTTTTTTTTTTAAGATTTTATTTATTTGAGAGAGAGCATGAGCAGGGGGAGGGGCAGAGGGAGAAGCAGACTCCCTGCTGAGCAGGCTCAATGTGGTGTTCAACACAGGGCTTGATCCCAGAACCCCAGGCTCATGACCTGAGCCACCCTGGTGCCCCTAGAGTTCTTAAAGTGAATTTGAGTGAGATTCTTATAAATAGATCTCCAGTTTTGCATTAATTTAGACTTAGGCTTTAATATAGGTTCGGAATCTCTATCTCACTACAAGTTGCTCTTTTCTTCTTATGGAAAGAAGGAGAGATTATTTTTTACTTGGACTGTTTCACAGTGAGTTTAGCAGTCATTTAGTAGAAAAGGTTTGACATACTCTACGCTTATAATTTACTTTCTTCTCTTCTTAACCTCCTTTGGGTCATTATCCTTCTGGTTCCCCCTTCAAATCAAATTACAGTATGTCGTTTAATTGCTTTTTTTCCCCTGTGCTTTCTTTTCAGCTCTTTGCCTTCCCACCTGAACATCAGTTATGAGGACTTTTTCTCTGCCCTTCGTCAATATGCAGCCTGTGAACAGCGTCTGGGAAAGTAGTGATCCCTGGTTGTGTAATTTGATTTCAGGCTTTTGGAGAAAAGGACCCAAGTGACTCTGATGTTTACAAAGCACCTATGAAACCCTGTACACACCTAGTTCATAATCCTCATAATTTATCAACAAACACAAAAAAGTGTCTTACTTGAGAGTAAGAGTATGTGTGAGTATGAGTGCGCGTGCACACGTGTGTGTGTGTGTGTGTATGTGTGTAAATAAATTTATAAATGGGGGAAGTATTGGAGAAGGAAAGACGTAGACCTGCAGTTTGAGCAAATAGCAGCAGTGTTTTAGGAGCTGAAATTTCAGATTTAAAGGTTTCAGCCTCCACTACTTCCCTGTTTTTGTGGGGAGCAGGGGGGGTGACTAGAGCTATTTGGTTGTTGTTTTGGGGGGAGGGGAATAATTTTTGTTCAGTCTTTCCTAGTGACCAAACTTAATTTTTAAGAATAATATATTGACTTATTAAATGGAACTGTTTTGAGTTTGAGGGATCTCCAGAGGAATGGAGGTCTGTGTTGGTCCCATGTTAAAAGCTTGCTCAGCTTTGGAGCGGAGGGCATACCTATTTTTGGATATCCGTCCATCTTCATCTCATTGTAGTTGAACAATGTGACTTGCGAGTGTTGCTCTGGTGTCTATTCTGGGTTGTGAAGATCATCTGAAAAAGAACTCACTACATTCAAACGCAGAATTTAAAAAATTTAAATACTGTATTAGACAGTCAAGAAAAGGTGAAAAAGTTACAATCTTAAAAGTAAAGTTGGAAGATTTCCTAAAATAGGAAAGAAAGTGATTTCCTTTTTTATTCGGTGAGCAGTGTGTACCGAAAGTTGGTTTAAAAAATATTTCCATTAACTATTTTTATTTAAAATAAGCATTTGAGGGAAGTTACCAAGGCAGCTCTTTTCTTCAAAAGTAGTAACCTGTTCCTCTTTGGAATAGCACATTTTGGGCCATGTTAGTACCCAGGATTTTTACTCATTTTACTCAGTAAATCCTGATGGTGACTTTGCCTAAAAGATCTTTAAGTAAGATGGAGGCCTGTGTAGGTAATAAAATATTACCAAAGTCTACAAAAGTAATTTAAATTAATTTTACATGTTCTCTTTCATGACAGAGAATTGCTCTGGTTCTGTTATTTTTTAAATGAATAAGTGATTTTTTGATATGTGTTTAGTATTTCTTCCCTCACTGCTGATCCTTGGACAGAAACCATTCTTTATATTTGATGGACCGTTTTCAGAAAAATCTTAAGTGTACAATAGTTGTCTAAAACTGGAGTAGCTTAAATACTAGGTCTCAGAAGTCTGAAAAATAGCAAAGAAGACTGGGTTTGGAAAGCAAGGTCTGAAGTTGCTTGTCATATTCTGAAGCTATGAAGAATAAAATGTTTCCACTTTGGATTACAAAACCCCATTTATGATTTTAAAAATTACACTTGAAATAAAATGATTAAACTAAATTTTGGTCCAGTGACATTACTTTGCACTTCATAGTCCTTTGTACATTATAAGACTTTTTTTTTTTAAGTCTTAATTTATTGCTGAAAGTTTTGTGTGAAACTGTAGCATATCTCTGAACTTTACTAGACAACTTCTGATTTCTGTCCCCCTGTACTGTGATCCATGTTCTATTGAGGCTTTTTTGTCTTAGTTTGAGACTGAATTTATGTCTTTTGTAAACACGATATGTGTCTTTTATAAACATTCTGGAATATGTATGGCTTTAATGAATTAAATTTAATGGGCCTGACTGAAGTGAAGGGATTTAATACTTTTTAAAATGAAGTTAGTCAAACAGATTACCTACTGGGATATAGCCAGAGCTGCTAGAAGTCTAATGGTTGAGTCTTTGTATTTCTCTCCTTCCATTCATAGCAGTGTAGTATTTAGTATTATTATACATCGAAGTATATCTGTAACCTGTGACCTGAGTCTATTATAGTCCTAGGAAGAGATCCTTAAAACAAGTTGCTAAAGATTCTGAATTCAGATACAGGCATTCCAGATCCTTCTCCTCATGATGAGTTTAACTGCTAGTATCAATCTCCACAACTTGAATGGCATTGGTCATTCTGTAATTCCTGCCAAAATCATCACAGTGCATCATCAGGGCTCCCTTTGCACTCCCAAGAAGAACTGATAACGTTAAAGAAAACTGTTGTTTGTCTTTATGTGTACTCAAGGTTTTTGTCTTTACATTGTTTCTTCTTGACATTCCCCACAATGGAAAAATCAAATTAAACCCACATTAAGGATGGCAGCTTGGAGCACAGCAAAAACTTGTAGTGTTTGAATTCCATTCCCAATTCTGGTTGTATTTTGTTTCTTAAAACTGATTACTGTTATAACAAAGTTCAAAAGCTGCTTTTGATGTGAATAGCAACATTCTGGTATATTGGGGCTAAGGCTTAAGAATACCTGTCTCTGAGAGGAAGGTGTTATAATGTTAATGAGCAGTGCCAAATACACTGTGCGCATCTACAATTTAATCTTTGAATGTATGTTACTTGATTAGCTCCCTCCTCCCGTGTGATGGTACCATGCATAGAGTCAAATCCTTGTGCTATTTTGTATGGCTGTAGACTTTGGCAACATGTAAATAATGTGTAAAGCAAGTTTTTATGATTAAGGAATCAAATTTATTGAATTTTATTATTGAAAGTTGAAACTTAACATGTATGAACAAAAACAATAAAAGAATATACTCTTTTCATGGACTATAGTATTATGTGAATGCTACATCTATTCTAAACATTTAGGGCCTGCAGAAATATACTGAGAAACTCATGACTGGATAGCAATACTATTTTTTTTTTTTGGGTGGTATGTTCTTGATTGAGATATATTCTCATTTTTACCAGGTTAAACATTTGCAATCTTAATGGTATTTGCTTCTTGCTAGATAACAGCAAGATAAAATTCAGCTTTGCCATTGCTAGAGGTGTCAGAATTCCACAATAATTAAAATCTAAATTGATTTTTATTGAATATGGAATGCCAAATTAAAAACATATATGTGTACTCTTTTAAGAAATTTAACAGTCCTTGTTAAGCTAGAAAATAGAAAGGTAACCCTGATTTGTCTTACGTTGCATAGAATATTAGCTTTCTATGTATCTAATTACAAGACAGTTTTCTATGCATAATTTTTATCTGAAATCAGGATTTTCAAAGGGTACATTTTAACTTTGGTTAATAGGAAATGCATTTAACAAAAATTAGGAAGAGTTCAGTATAGTTTGAAATAAAACCCAGGAGGGTGCCTGAGTGGCTCAGCCGTTAAGCGTCTGCCTTCAGCTCAGGACATGATCCCAGGGTCCTGGGATCAAGCCCCACATCGGGCTCCCTGCTCAGCGGGAATCCTGCTTCTCCCTCTCCCACTCCCCCTGCTTGTGTTCCTGCTCACGCTATCTCTCTGTCAAATAAATAAAATCTTAAAAAAACCCAGGAAAAAAGATTAATGTCAGCATTTGTCCAAGAATCCTACTTGATAGGCCGTAAACCGTGATTTGGTGGGAAAAGTACAGAAAGAATTTTCTTATGGTTTAGGAAAAATACACATTAATTGTAGAAAAATAGAAATTTCAGAGAAGCAAAAGTAAAATCTCTAATACCATCACTCAGTGGTTACATTTTTGGTGACAATCCTAGAATTTTTTTTGTGCTTCTATTTGAAAAAAATTCTACTGTAACAGGCTTAATAAAGAGATTCTTTTTAAGTCACAAACTATAAATTGAGAGTCTTGCCTTCTGTTTTGTATTTAGTTGTGTCTGGAACTAATCACAGGAGCACATGAAAAAATATTTGGAAGAAATTAAAAGTCCACATTCGGTTACTGTTAATGAGTATTTAACCTTGGTCCGAGTTCTTGTTTATACTCCTCTTTTATCCCTCCGTCTTATAGAGATTCAGGACCTAAAAATAAATTTTAGCATCTGGATTCATACATCCAGATGAATGCAAAAAAATAAAAATTAGATATACTCCCAGATCAGACTGTTTGGGTTATCTGCTATTGACCATGTTTATACTTTTCCATCAGTCGTAGTAATAATTTAAGTTATTTTAATGAGGACAAGGAAAAAATACGTTGTTTGGCTCAAAGAAGGAAAGCCTGGGCTAAATGAAAAGATCTGAATGTAGGTTAGTCATTAACAGCATAGTTATACTTGTATTGAGTAATATTTCCATTCTGATGAAGATTGACTTCAACTGCCTACATCTTACGGATTTGGATTGATGAACCCTTTTTTTTTTTTAATTGTGTATTTTGTAGTGTTATTCCTCAGTAACTTATGCATAACTGCCTTAAATTTCTTACTCTTACAAAATGTAATGGAGAAGTAAATAGTAGTAATAGTAATCAACTGTTTTCACCAGAGAAGAACCAATATTTTAATTAGATTTCAGATAATTAGAAAATGGGACATCAAGAAAAACATGGAAATTAACTGGAGATGTTGACAGCATTTGTCTAGTGCTGGGGTTCTCAACCGGAGTGATTACACCCCCCAGTAGACATTTGACAACATCTGGAGACATTTTTTGTTTGTCACAAGTGGGGGAATACTAGCGGTATCAAGTGGAAAGAGGCCAAGCTAGGGGTGGTGATGTTGTCCAAAAGATGCTATAGCACAATTTTAAACAATTCGAGTTTGTTTTGATTTGAATCTACAGATGGTAGTTTGGGGGGATGAAATAAACATTCACTTTTATGTGCATATTTTAATTAAGTGAAATATATATATTAACTTTTTTCTACTCATGAGTTCTAGTCATTATTTTCACATTTTCCCTCGACGTTTTGAGACCCCAGTTTTCCAAAGCATGTCAGCTTGTTGTCTAAGCTTATTTGAAAGAAAGCAGTGTTTTTTGAAAATGGTAAATGTTATAAGAAATCCCATGCTTCAAATTACCCATTGTATAAACATCAAGTTAGCAATTTCTTTCCTTCATCCTGCAGGTAGTTGATTTCCACATTATAACCATTTACATTGTTCTGAAAAATGCTTGTAATATATCCTATGCTTGTTTTTGAGGTCATATTTCCAAGAATAATGACTAAACATTGTTAAATTTTTTTTAATTTTTTAAATAATGTATCTGGTAGCCCTTTTTTAGTATTCTGAAAGTAATATTGAAGTGGCTTCAATCAATGTGATTTTCCTAAATATTACCTGTGATTCAAATATTTAATTAGAGTGCTTCTCATGAAGAGATTTTGCTTGGCCTGGAGAAGGATGTCTTTTCTGAGGGATCATTACAGAGAAAGAAACCTGCTTACGTGGGATATATATGTTTATGTGAAAAATAGTCCTGACAAGCCTGTGACTGACTTTGGAGTTTGAGATGCAACACTAAATATAAAGCATTCAGGAGATTAACAGGAATGCACAAAACATCTCCCGGCAAATGATTTCATTAAATATTAATTTATGAGTTCCTTGGAAGCAGAAGCTCATCTATACATAAATATGCAGAATATCAAATTACTTGCAAAATCAGACCCTATCAGCTGTACTCTGAGGTCCTCAGCTTATCAGATGGGTAAGGCCAGCCACAATGCTCACAGCATATCAATTGGTGATGCTTTTAATTAATTTAAAAGAAAATCCTGGCTTCCCTGCTGCCTACTCTTGTGGGCCCAGGAAAGGGAAAGCGAAGTTAACTAAAGGAGTACGTGTGCTTTGGCATGTGAGTTTTTGTCACTGTAAGAGAAGAAATAGCAAACATGAAGTAGTACTACTACTTGAATTCTGAACTGGTGATTATATCCAAGAATTCTCCGTATTTTTTTGATCTAGCATGTTGTCCAAAAAGATGGACATAAAATTTCATAGTTAGGCCTGGCATGGGGAGGGCTTCGCCAATCTAGGGGTCAGCGTCATTTTTTGCGCCTCAGAATCTCTGTCTTCACCCAGTGTAAGGAAAAGACATTTCTTCTCCGCATCACCACTAATGCCCATGCTGTACCTCTGATACCGTCTCTTCCTCCCTTCAGGACTTTCACTTTTTCCTTCCCATTTCCAGTCTCTGCTAAATACGGGGTATTCTCGCCCTCTCGCCCTGAGTTACAAATGCGCTCAGCTTTTCCAGTCCCTCAAGTGATGGCCTCTCTCTTCCCTCCACTGCTCACCCTCTTGAAAGCCTGTAACTGCCCATCTCCTTATTTCCTTGGAATTCCTCATCCCTTTACCCGGCTCCCATACCACTTAACAGCGTCTAACTATGTGATTTACTTACGTTTATTTTTTGTAGCCTGCCTCCCTGTAGAGTGTAAGCTCAATCGGGGCAGGAATTTTTGTTAGATTTTTATTCACATCCCAAGTGCTCGATAAATATTTGTTGAATGAATGAATGAATATCTACTTTAAAATTTTTTGTTTGTTTGTTTTAAGTAGGCTCCCCGCCCAACATGGGGCTTGAACGCACGACCCTGAGATCAAGAGTCACATGCTCTACTGACTGAGCCAGCCGGGCACCTCTCTACTTATTTTTTAAATCTAACTTTTGCCAACGTGCTCTGTTAAAACAATCATCCTGAAAGTTAACTAATGTCAAATCTCATAACTTACTGTTGTATTTTACAGTTCTTACAGTTGCACTTTTTTTTTTTTTTAACATTTCTAGTTTCTGTAATTCTCTACTCTCCCACTTACTTGGGGTTTATGATTCATTTGTTTTAAGTTTTGTGCAGTGGCAGTGTCGTAGCCAATGAGGTTTACCTGTGGCGCGATTATTAATTGAAAACTTTTCATTTGTTTTCCTAAAAAAATGAATCCTAGAAAGACATAGTATTACTTCGTCAACCTGTTTTTGTTGTTTAATTAAAAAATCTGCAAACCATTGTGGCCATCTCTTCTATTCCAGGCACTGTGCTCGATAACGGGGCGTGAGGACGAAGGACAAAAGGCCCCACCTTAACACATACAGCGTGAGATTAGTCTTGACAGGGAGGAGCACTTTTGCCCCAGACACAGGTCAAGATATGCTGAGGTTGTGGGAACTGGATACCTAGACGGGTCATCAGGCTGCAGTGTGATGAGCAAAAGCATGGTCACTGTCCCATTTTGGAGTAAGACTACCTACTCCAGTGCAGTGGTTGCAAGGACAGGAAGGAATTCCAAGAGGTGGTGTCTGAGCTGCTATTGACGGTGAAGGCAGCTGGGGCACGTACATCATCTCAGGAAGAACAAAAAGAAGAAGCGAGCATGGCAGCCAACAGTTGATACTAGAATATAAAGTGTAAGGCACAAAGTAATAATAGGGAGGCTCCAGAGGGCCTCAGTCTTGAATGCTGAGTTTCAAAGCTCGAACCTCACCTTTCGCAGGTGGTAGGGTAGGGAGTGAAATGGTCAGAATTGCACCTCGGATCACTGAGGCAGCTGTGGGAAGAGACCTGGGAGGGACGATATGGAGAGACAAAGCACTCTGGGGCTAGCAAACCAGCCTTCAAGCCCTTCTCGTGTCTCTGTGTGTTCTTTGGACAATCTCACCCGTTCTCATGGCTTCCACTACCACTTTAAATAAATGACTCAGTCTGTATTTTTACCCACAGTCTCTACTGAGTCCCTGGTGCCTAATTCTACCACATGTTGAACATCTTCACTTGAGGTTTTCTGGACACCTTACCCGTCTCACGCAGTCTTCACTTATACCCTTTGCCCCCACACACTTTCTGATGGCTTGTCTCGCCTAGTTCATCTTAAATCCACC